AACTGTACATAGCTGTGCAAAGTGATACATCTGCGTCACCAGTCGGTGAGCGCTTACAATATGGGAGTCCATACCTTGGAGAAGGCTTCCTAGGAGCGTGGCCAGGGTGTGTTGGTACTGGAAAATCTCGGGTGTTCAAAACAAGCAGAGAAGACTACCATAACCGGCAATTAACACTTCGGCCTTCTTCGCAGAGCCTACGGTCAGTTTGAACCCCCCAAACTTTCCCCAAATGCTTAACACCTACTTGCGACCGCTAGTGGAATATGCTATACAGGCGTGGTAGTCGTGACAGAAACGGGATCTGCTTGCTCTCGAGACTGCTCAACGAAGGGCAACCAAGAAAGTCAGGGACTTCTTTCATCTGCCCAATCAGCTTAGACTAAAATCTCTAAGGATGTACAGCAGTCGATATCGGCTTTTGTGGAGGGATCCCATAATGGTTTACCAAATTCTGAAGAACCCAAACCACATTTGCCGTCTGCTGCTGGAACTGAACCACAGCACTAACCTAACGAGTCACCCTCTGAAATTGACAACTCAGTATAGCCGGCTTGAATGCCGTAGAGATTCCTTTTCCCCCCGTGCGTGCCAGTCCTGGAACGCCCTCCGTAATTATGTCGTCTCAACTCCCAATCTGACGATACTTAAAAAAGCGAGTTGACGGTGCACTGTCTCATTTACATTTCATTTTTTTGACTTGTTAGCCAGGGGCAAGAAAACGAAATCAAACGGTGTCTTGCCAAAGTTCCAAGCAATGGATTTATGGATTTATACGTTTAATACGCGAACGTCTCCGCCATTCTACATAAGTCTATGGTGAGTCCATCACAACGCTTTTCATTTTATCATGCACTTCACTTTTGCAATAATTTCCAGCCCACGTGACTTTTCAACAACGTTATTTTTTACCCGTACTAAACCCTTGTTTCATCCACGTGATGCAACCACGTGGGATCCCGACTTAGTGTAACTGAGTTATTTTACTTATGTTCAGATTGACACTCTCAATACAAAGTGTGTGTGATGAGCTGTTGATAACACTTTTCCTCTTCTAGTGAGAAAATAACATATTTACACCTTGACGCGTTGAGTGACAGACAGCGTAGTTCGGACAAGGAGGTGAGGTGATCCAAGAAGCATTGCAAGTTAACCGATGAATCTGGTGTTTGTTGACGCATAGGATCACCTCATCAGCATACTTCACAGGGTGGCTTCTTTTGGAGCGGGAAAGGAGCTAATGTAAATGGAAAATGGGAATGAGGACAAAATAGCTCATCGAAGCACACCAGAATTTGTGATAAATGAGAAAAAGCTTTTCCCCCAATCTGCGTACGATTAGCAAACTAGTCTGTAAGAACGATACTATGCAAGGTTGAACTTCTGAAACTAGCAGGTCGTGTAACAGCAGTTTGTGATTTGCACAACCGAAGGTATTGCTCTAACCTAGGAAGCAGATCCGCGTGTGCTTGTTTTTACTATCCAATGATAAATAGCCGGAGTGTACATGACTGGTCAATGCATCCAAACTGGACCTTGAAATACCATAGGTGAACTGAAACGAATCATTTGAGCGTGCTTGGACAAGTATACTTTCCAATATAATTCGTTCAGAAGTCTTCAAAGCCCCAGACGTACAAGTGATGGGCGGGTATTTACAGCTACCATTTGTGACACGAGTAATGCGGTCGCTTCGCCAGAAACCTGCTATATTGTGCTGATTTAGGCACATGGTTTATAGTTCCGCAAAACCTGTGCGAAAACATTAGCACATACCTTGAGGACTATAGGAAATAATCCGTCTGGACACGGCACTTTACACGACTGTTCGCGTATTAGTTTTAGTTCGAACTATTACACTATCTATAGGTGATAACGTTTCTGTGTAAAGTAGTAGCGGTAAAAATGGCAATTTTAATGCTGAGTCATTGATATGACAACATAAGTTACGATTTAATTCCTCCATATCGAAAGCAGTGTGTGTGACACTTTGACGACTTCTATCAGGTTATGCATCATATTCCATATTTCTCGGCAATTATTCTTTCCAAGTATAGTTTGAACATAAATATGGTTGAAGCGCCACATTTCTTCTTTATATCAGTCGATGAGGACATTACTTAAGCTGCGTCTTTGCGCTTGTAGGCTTCTACTTTGAGTCTGCACGGTCATTTAAGGCACTGAGATGAAAACCTATCTGCGCGAATGCAATTGGTTTTTATAGGAGGATAAATATCATAGCAAATGTTCTAGCAGCTGCTTAAGTGAACAGTGTACTTCGATACATCAAAATATAGTGAAGTCTTTAGAAGCAACAGTTTCGCGTAGTAGCTATGTTTTGAGGAAGACATGGCCTTTACATTTACTTGCGGTCTTTGCAGCGAATAACAATTTTGTAGTTCCTTTTGCCATAGAGTATGACAGACAACTTTTTGGTGGCATGACCTGAGCTTCCAGCAGTGTCTTGGTACCAACAGTCATTGATAAACACTAAGTCTAGGGTTTCTTATAACCTTGTTTCAGCTTCCACGATATTCCTCAGTCCAAGACTGGTAATAAAAATAATGACGAATCTATTAAAGTCACTGGAAAAAACAAAAAAATCTAGATTCCCCATGACGGTAGTTGTAAAATAGTCATAAAGGTTTTCAGCACCAGCTATAGGGCAACCAGGGTAAATATAAATTTTGGCTAATAGAATCGAACGATAGCAGCTCAGGTATCGAACTTGTATTTCACAAGTAAACAGCTATTGCTCTGCGCGGAATGAAGAAACATATTTTTTGTTGACATACCATGAAGAATTAATGTATGTGATAACGCCATTGTCACGGTGCCTGTGCGTACATGGGCAGTCAATGCGATACACTGTGAATCCGTCAAGTGCCGCAAATGTACCTTCTATGTCGTCGCGCAACTAGGTTTCTTGTAGCAGAATGACAAAAAGTTGGGAGTTTTCGTTACGGCTTGTTATACTTTTTTATCAAAAGGGATTTATCTACTGTCCGACAGACCAGTCTGCTTGACAGCCCAGCAAATATACAGTCAGATTCGTACCCTCGTCTCGTAGTGGCAGCAGCGGCATTCGGGAAGCTAGAGTACTTAGTGTGGAACAACCATCAGGTTACTGTTGGCACGAAGCTGGTGGTGTACAATTCCATGGTGCGCTCCGTCCTCATATACGGCGGCGAAATGTAGTCGATGAACCGTTGAGATATGAGATATCTCCAGAGGTTCCATCAATAGTGTCTGCGACTGATTCTGCGCATGGATTTGTGCGACAAAGTGGCAGACACGGAGGGGTCGCACAGAGGTGGAATGTATGACGTGGACTGCATACCTTTGCTGTGACATTTGAGGGGTTCGGTCATGTGCGTCGTATGGATTCGAGGCAGATACCGAAGCAGCTGTTATTTGGTCAGTTGAGAGTGGGGAAGCGGCACTTGCAGAATCAACATGTTGGGAAAACAAAGCCTTGTTATCAAGACATGACTCAGGCTAGCCTATCACATTCTTATGTTGGTTTCAGATATTGGGAATCAAAGACGCTTGATCAGCGTGCGTTACGCGATCTGCTCACGAAAGCATTTGCTTAGCAGCAGGAGAAAGCCCTCATGCATGCGGAGAAGAAACGGTAGGCGAGGAAGCGACCGGCGCCGATGGGGTTTACTTCTTCGACGTCGAACGCACTGTGTTTTAGCACGTACGTTCACAAATGCTTGAGTCAGGCAGGCCTAGTAAGCCACGACCGAAGTCATTCTAGGCCAGCATCGAAAATGTGACGGATGCTGATAAAAACGTAAGGGGAGCCGGCCAAGGATCGGGAAGTATGCCTCATTCGATTTATTAACCGCGTGGTTGCGTGCAGTATTTCCATATTTCAGGTGACCGGTTTGCTATATTTTGTTAATCCGCTTTGTTACATTTTATTGTCTAGATGAATAATCCGCTACTTACTTGCACACATAGCTTAAACGAAGCACATTTAGTTATTCGCATTTGTTGCATGTGTCTTTTAATCTCTTTTTCTGTCCACTTGATTTTATCGCGGATATTTTGGTAACGAATTTAGTATAAATGCTGATTTAGTGAAGCGTTAAGTCGGCATATCCGTATGCTTTATTCGATTTATTTTATTTGCCATCGTCATTCCAAGTGATTGGCTGTTGTTTGGTATCCCCGCTGTGGTTGCGCTTGATGTGAATGTTGACAAGGTATCTACCTTTCTATTACCCACCACCTCGTCTATACTGGATCCAGGTGACAGTTGTTGCTGGAGGGGACAGGGGGCATGGTCCTTGTGGTCGTGCTAGGCTCGAAGAGTGGTACCATGCAATGAGTGTGAAGCGGATTACCATCCAACCACCTCCTTGTGTTCACTTGATTCCCAAAATACAGCGTGCTTGTGTTTGCCTGTGAAGGAGTGTGGGCCTGCTCAGTTGCTGAAGCGGGGCTGCAATCCACAGGTCTAATGGTTTTTTTTCCTTACACCGGATATAGGGTTTGTGGCTGGAACCGTGATTGTTGAACGGCAAGAGACCCATAGTACCTCTGTAGGCGCAGACATCTCGTGGCTATCTCCATGGGGGCCACAATGGCAGACTACTTCGGAAACGGAGGTCGCGAACGATGTGCTGTCCAGTTCGCTGGCATCTAGAAGTCATTGGGGCGGAACCCGGCAGGGGTCCGCCGGGAAGTGCACAACTGATGAGACCCAGAAGGTCAAAACGCCGGCGTCTGGTGATTTTCCAGACTAGCCTAAGCCTGCTGATGGTGGGTGACCAAGATGAATATTTTGAAGCAATTCGACTATGTTCGAAAGCCACTTCTCTACATCCTAGTGGGCAGATAAGGAGGCTAGGTCATATTGACGAATTACATTCTCTATTTACGGAAAAGAATGCAAGTATTTCGTTGCAAATCTGAGGTCGCAGTTTCGAATCTACCCAAACGCCTCGTAAAATAGCCAGATCAAGAGTTTTAAGTAATGGCCATTTTATATCAGTGGTTGATGTTTATTTTATCACAACAAGTAGTGTCAAATAAATAGTGTCACATCATTCCCAATCCGTATTCCACATAGACGAGTCCTTGTGAATTGCGTCCTCAGATTCAGTCACTACTTCCGAAGCAGAGGCATCAAACCTGTTCTTCTCCACAAGTTCATCCGTATCAGTGAGTTCTAATGTAGATCGCATATGAGAGGAGATCGCGTTTGTTTCTCTCAACTCATTAACAGAGTACTGTTCATTCGAAATATCCATGAATTGATCGGTCGGTGCCCGTTGTACTGTTGACTCACTTGTCAGCCGTTCCTGCGGTACTGCAAATAAGGGCAAATTTTCATTGAATCTCTCGAGTAAAATCACATCCATAAGGCTATCATGACCAGTGGGTATCCGGATTGATTGAATGAAATGAAGCTGCAGACCGACTGTCAAAAGTAGGGTTAAACAATTCATCAAGCGCTTCATTTTTCGCACTGTGATTCGACAAACAACCTGAGTTTACATAGACTGTTCATTCGGAAACATAGTAGCGAGAACATGTGTGCCAAAATGTTGCCTGTAGACATATGTATCATGATCTTCGTAACACGATTTATATATATATATATATATATATATATATATATATTTGCAATGGTACGCCGGCATCCGGTTTTGGATTTGCCTGTCACTGTGACTAGCCACAGGACGCCAGAGCGTACAGAGGGACCATGGGTGACTTGCGCTGCACCACCCACAGATCCATCCACACACCCCATATCCAGTGTAAACCCGAAGGAATGAGACCGGGAAACATGTGAATGGGAGCCATGCTTCATCAACGGAGCCGCCCCACACTCCTTCACAGGTAAACACAAGCACATTGTATTTGGGGAATCAAGCGCACACAAGGCGGTGGCTGGACCGTAGTCCGCTCCATACTGAGTGCATGGAACCACTCTTCGAGCCTAACACGGCCACAGGGACCGTGAACCCTGTCCCCTCCAGCAACGAACAACTGTCTCCTGGAGCCAGTATGGACGAGGTAGTGGGTAATAGAGAGGTAGGCACCTTGTCAACATGCACATCAAGGTCAGCTACATTGGGGATATCAAGTAACAGCCAGTCACTTGAGACTAAGAAATCAAGTAAAAGAAATCGCACACTCCATATGGATATGTTGACACAACTCTTCATAAAATGGGCGTATAAAAATTGCTTACGAACGAATCCGCGATTAGTTCAAAGCGCCAGTAAATATATTTTAAGAAAATGACACAAATGCGAAAATGTTACCGAAGCTAACTACAGTTAATGGAAGATAGCTGAAACAGCAGTAAGGCGAGAAACCAAACCCACCACCTGGAATAAAGCGACGGCATATATGTGTGTATAGGCGGGAGAGCCTATGGTGCGCTGAGACTGGTGGTGGCTAGATCCTGACAGATGTTCTACCCACTGCTGCTACTGTTGCGCCATAGTCTCATGTCCTGGGCGCCTCCACGTGGCGACCGCTGGGTGGGAGTTAGGTTTCGCCCTTCTCTCTGCTAAGATCCAGGACACCCATCCGCATGAGTCAGCTAACTGACCATGTGCTAGACCCGCTGCCTTTCGGGTGTTCATTTAATCGAAGGCTTTGGCTGAGGACCCGAGTCGTTCTCCTGTCAGGATTGGGCGCCCTGGCAGTATCCTAGTCCATCCTCTCCGGAGGTTAGGAAGTGGTCAATGGCCCACTTCCCGTAAAACCTAGCCATGGGAGACAACAGGTTACGGGTGATATTCTCAATGCTCGATCGGCGTAGAGCACGAGTGCCACGCATTATCTCTGACGGTGGTAGGACACCGCCGGGTGTTCAATGGTTTGCTACTGCCCGCCTCAAGCCAGGCAGCCCCTGGTCAAATTGGTGCAAACCCGCCAAAAACCCACCTGCGTCTGGCCGTGGTCGCAGGTGCGTATCCTACTACGGTCGCAAAACATATGATAACTGTTCCAGAACCTCAAAGGCTGCGTGTGACGGCCGTCAAGCAGATCCCAATCTGTCTCTGCAATCACATTCCCGAGTTGGATCTGCTCTCCACTGCCTTGTGGGTCAGGCTATTGAGCAAAGGCTCCGGGTGGAGTCCCTCAAGCAAACCTCCAAACCACCCACTGCCTTGTGGTCAGGCTATTGAGCCAAAGGCTCCGGGTGGAGTCCCTCAAGCAAACCTCCGAAGCACAACGACCACCTCGCGAGCGTTTGCCCACCAATGCAATCGTATGCCTGCGCGCAAAGCACTCAGCATCGGGTGCTGGAACGTGCGCACACTACTGGACCGGAACTCGTGCGAGCGCCCGGAGCGACGCACTGCACTGGTCGCAATGGAGCTGGCGCGCTACCATATCGATATTGCGGCGCTCAGTGAAACTCGGCTCGCTGAGCAAGGTAAGTTACATGAAGCAGGTGCTGGCTACACATTCTACTGGGTGGGGAACGCCGCCTCAGCACCACGTGAACATGGGGTCGGATTTGCAATATCCGACCGCCTGAATGGCCAGCTGGTGGGTGAACCAACGGGCATCAGCGCGCGACTGATGACTGTTCGCCTGCGACTAGGAAGAGGTAAGTTTGCTACTTTTATAAGCACGTACGGTCCGACCATGTGTTATCCTGATGACACGCGTGATCAGTTCTACACTGAGCTATCCTCCGTGATACGGTCTGTGCCGAGGAGCGACCGACTATTTCTGCTGGGTGATTTCAACGCGCGCGTTGGGCGTGATGCATCAGCGTGGACAGATGTTATCGGTGCGCATGGCATTGGTTCAGCGAATGCGAACGGTGACAGGCTGCTCTCACTGTGTGCCACTCACGGCCTGACGATCACGAACACTCGGTTTGCACTGAGTGCGAGTGATATAGCAACTTGGACGCACCCACGGAGTGGTCACGCTCACCTGCTCGACTATGTCATTGTACATCTGCGTGACATGCGTGAAGTGCGCATGACACGTGTACTGCGTGGAGCTGAGTGTGGCACTGATCACAAATTGGTTCGGACCAAACTGTACATATATTTTCGTAAATCTATGTATTGCACTCCCGCCGTGAATCGGCGTAAATTTAACATTCTCTCCCTCGGTACTGTGGCGAAACGTACTGAGCTGGAGAAGGCGATGGCTGCACGCCTGTGTGGTGATGTGAACTGTATAGCCACAGTGGGCGACCTGTGGCACCACGTTTGCGATCAGGTGACAGCTGCTGCGGAGGAGACCGTCGGGCGCGCAAACTGTAAGCGGCCTGATTGGTTTGATGACAACAATGTGACGATTGACGCATTGGTGTCAGAGAAGAATGCAGCATTTGCTGCACATGTTGCAGACCCCAGTGACTTGGGGAAGAGTAGTCAGTTTCGCAAACTTCGACGGCGACTGACCCGAGAGCTCCGTCGCATTAAAAATGCATGGTGACGGAGAAGGCGAAGCAGATGGAATGCTACGCCGAACGCCGCCAACACAAGGAATTCTTTGACTCCTTGAAGGCGGTGTATGGACCGAGATTGGAGCCGCTGAGGACACTGATCGATGGTAGTTCAGGCGCTACCTGCACCCAGACTGCAGACATAATGCAGGTCTGGCGGAAACACTTTGACTGTCTCTTGAACAACCGTTCAGAGATCGACTGGCCTACATTGAACGGCCTGAAGCAGCACGATGTGAAGGCGGATCTGGCGGATACGCCGAGACTGGATGAGACGCAGAGAGCACTTGCTCAGCTGCGAAACGGCAAATGTGCCGGAGGTGACGGGATCCCACCTGAAGTATTGAAATATGGTGGACCCGCGTTGTTGACTGCGCTGCACCACTTGGTGCAACGCGTGTGGATTGAGGAGGAAGTGCCTTCTGAGCTGAAGGATGCCCTTGTGCTACCACTGTACAAGGGCAAAGGGAGCAAGCAATGTTGCACGAATTATCGTGGCATCAACTTGCTGAGTTGTGTGGGCAAGGTGATTGCCCGAATCCTGCTCAATCGCCTCGTGAGTCAGATTGTGGAACCGAAAGTGGCGGAAGAGCAATGTGGATTCCGTTCGGGTCGCAGCACTATAGATATGGTGTTTGCGGCTCGTCAGTTGCAAGAGAAGTGCAGAGAACGACACCAGCCTTTGTACTCGCTTTTTGTTGATTTCACTAAGGCATTTGATACGGTGAACCGCGAGGCACTGTGGCTGGTGTTGGGTAAGTTTGGTTGCCCGCGTAAGTTTGTAAGTTTAATTGAATGTCTGCACAGTGGTATGCGAGCGAGGGTGCAGCTGAGTGGAGAGACCTCTGATGACTTTACAGTTGTCTCTGGTGTGAAGCAAGGCTGTGTCTTAGCTCCTGCCCTGTTTAATATATATCTTCATGCAATGTTGTCTTGTGCTTTTGATGCGGCTTGTGCTTATGGTGTTCGTGTGGAGCACCGTATTGATGGTGGGTTGCTGAACATCCGTCGTTTCGGTGCGAGAACTCTAGTCTGTGAGACAACTATCCGTATGTTGCTGTTTGCTGACGACTGTGCGTTGTTTTCACACAGCGCGGATGAGTTGCAGCACATGACTAGTGCTCTGGCTTCGACAGCGGCCAAATTCGGGCTCACCATCAACACAAGCAAAACTGTCTGTCTCTTTCAGCCTTCACCGGAGGTGCAATCTTCAATATTGCCGCAAATCAGCATTGGTGCTGAAGTATTGGAAACCACCTCCCGCTTCTGCTACCTTGAGAGTGTGATGTCGACTGATCAGCAGCTACACGTTGAGTTGCGTATCCGCGTGTCGAAGGTAGCAGCGGCATTCGGGAAGCTTGAGTACCGAGTGTGGAACAACCATCAGCTTAGCATTGGCACGAAGCTGATGGTGTACAAATCCATGGTACTGTCCGTTCTTCTATACGGCAGTGAAACGTGGACGATGTACCGTCGGGATGTGCGATATCTCGAGCGGTTCCATCAGCAGTGTCTGCGACGAATTTTGCGGATCGGCTGGGGCGCCAGAGTTGCAGACACGGAAGTGTTGCGCCGAAGTGGGATGTATGCAGTGGACTGCATACTTTTATTGAGACACCTGAGATGGCTCGGTCATGTGAGCCGTATGGATTCGACGCGAATACCGAAACAACTTTTATACGGTCAGCTGAGTATAGGGAAGCGGCACGTGGGGAAACCAAAGTTACGTTACCAGGACATGATTAAAGTGAGCCTCACACGTTCTAATCTTGATTGCAGATCATGGGAATCGAAGGCGGTTGATCGTGGTGCATGGCGCGATCTAATCACGAAGGCAGTTGCTGAAGTGCGGGAGAAAGCCCTCATGCATGCAGAGAAGAAGCGGCAAGTGCGGAAGCGGCAAGCACCAATGAATTGTACTCCATCGACATCAAGCGCATTGTGCTGTAGAACATGCGGTCGCAAGTGCCTTAGTCAGGCAGGCCTAGTGAGCCATGAGAGAGGTCACTCGGGACCACTGCCGAAGCGACGATG